TACAAAAAGAGGGAATTTTCCCTAACTCATTTTATGAAACCAACATCATCCTGATACCAAAACCTGGCAGAGACACAACTAAAAAAGAAAATTTCAGTCCAATATCTATGATGAACATTGATGCAAAAATCCTCAATAAAATACTGGCAAACCAAATCCAACAGCACATCAAAAAGCTTATCCATCACGATCAAGTAGGCTTCATCCCTGGGATGCAAAGCTGCTTCAACATATGCAAATCTATAAATGTAATCCATTACATAAACAGAACCAAACACAAAAACCACATGATTATCTCAATAAATGCAGAGAAGGCCTTTGACAAAATTTAACAGCCCTTTATGATAAAAAAAAACTCTCAATAAACTAGGTATTGATGGAACGTATCTCAAAATTATAAGAGCTATTTATGGCAAAGCCACAGCCAATATCATACTGGATGAGCAAAAACTGGAAGCATTCCCTTTGAAAACCGGCACAAGATAAGGATGTCCTCTCTCAACACTCCTATTCAACATAGTATTGGAAGTTCTGGCCAGGGCAATCAGGTAAGAGAAAGAAATACGGCATATTCAAATAGGTAAAGAGGAAGTCAAATTGTCTCTATTTGCAGACGACATGATTGTATACTTAGAACACTCCATCATCTCAGCCCAAAATCTCCTTAAGATGATAAGCAACTTCAGCAAAGTCTCTGGATACAAAATCATTGTGCAAAAATCACAAGAATTCCTATACAACAACAACAGACAAACAGAGAGCCAAATTATTAATGAATTCCCATTCACAATTGCTACAAAGAGAATAAAATACCTAGGAATACAACTAACAAGGGATATGAAGGACCTCTTCAAGGAGAACTACAAACCACTGCTCAAGGAAATAAGAGATGACACAAACAGATGGAAAAACATTCCATGCTTATGGTTAGGAAGAATCAATATTGTGAAAATGACCATACTGCCCCAAGTAATTTATAGATTAAATGCTATCCCCATCAAGCTACCATTGACCTTCTTCACAGAACTGGAAAAAACCACTTTAAACGTCATATGGAACCAAAAGAGAGCCTTCACAGACAAGACAATCCTAAGTAAAAAGAACAAAGCTGGAGGCATCATGCTACCTGACTTCAAACTATACTACAAGCCTACAGTAATCAAAACAGCATGGTATTGGTATCAAAACAGAGATATAGACCAATGGAACAGAACAGATGCCTCAGAAATAACACCACACATCTACAACCAACTGATCTTTGACAAGCCTGACAAAAACAAGCAATGGGGAAAGGATTCCCTATTTAATAAATGGTGTTGGGAAAACTGGGTAGCCATATGCAGAAAGCTGAAACTGGATCCCTTCCTTACACCTTATATAAAAATTAACTCGAGGCTTCCGGTTGGCCGGAGCCCAGCGACGGTTGTGAGAGTCAGTCAGGAGCCGCTTCCAGGATCCGGAGGAGCCGGGGTCGGAGCGGCTCCTCAAGAGTTACTGATCTGTGAAATGGCAGAGAATGGAAAAAATTGTGACCAGAGGCGTGTAGCAATGAACAAGGAACAACATAATGGAAATTTCACAGACCCCTCTTCAATGAATGAAAAGAAGAGGAGGGAGCGGGAAGAAAGGCAGAATATTGTCCTGTGGAGACAGCCACTCATTACCTTGCAGTATTTTTCTCTGGAAACCCTTGTAATCTTGAAGGAATGGACCTCAAAGTAAAGAGTCTTCTCCTACTACTTTTTAAATAAACATCACTTATTAATTTAAAAAAAAAAAAAAAAATTAACTCCAGATGGATTAAAGATTTAAACATAAGACCTAAAACCATAAAAACTCTAGAAGAAAACCTAGGCAATACCATTCAGGACATAGGCAGAGGCAAACATTCATGACTAAGACACCAAAAGCAATGGCAGCAAAAGTCAGAATAGACAAATGGGATCTAATTAAACTTAAGAGCTTCTGCACAGCAAAAGAAACTATCATTAGAGTGAACTGGCAACCAATAGAATGGGAAAAAAATGTTTGAACCTACCTATCCGACAAAGGGCTAATATCCAGAATCTACAAAGAACTTAAACAAATTTGCAAGAAAAAAAAAATCAAAAAGTGGGTGAAGGATATGAACAGACACTTTTCAAAAGAAGACATTTATACAGCCAACAAACATATGAAAAAAAAAAGCTCATCATCACTGGTCATGAGAGAAATGCAAATCAAAACCACATTGAAATACCATCTCACACCAATTAGAATAGCAATCATTTAAAAATCTGGAGACAACAGATGCTGGAGAGGATGTGGAGAAATAGAAACACTTTTACACCGTTGGTGGGAGCGTAAATTAGTTCAGCCATTGTGGAAGACAGTGTGGTGATCCCTCAAAGATCTAGAAATAGAAATACCATTTGACCCAGCAATCCCATTATTGGATATATACCCAAAGGATTATAAATCATTCTATTATAAAGACACATGCACATGTATGTTTATTGCAGCACTGTTCACAATAGCAAAGACTTGGAACCAACCCAAATGCCCATAGATGATAGACTGGATAAAGAAAATGTGACATAAATACACCATGGAATACTATGCAGCCATAAAAAAGGATGAGTTCATGTCCTTTGCAGAGACATGGATGACGCTAGAGACCATCATTATCAGCAAACTGACACAAGAACAGAAAACCAAATACCACATATTCTCACTCATAAGTGGGTGCTGAACAATTAGAACACATGGACACAGGGAGGGGAACATCACATACCAGGTCCTGTCGGGGATAGGGGGCTAAGGGAGGGATAGCAGAGGATAGGGGAATTGGGGAGGGATAGCATTAGGAGAAATACCTAATGTAGATGACGAGGTGACAGATGCAGCAAACCACCATGGCATGTGTATACCTATGTAACAAACCTGCACATTCTGCCCATGTACCCCAGAACTTAAAGTATAATAAATAAATTAAAAAGAAAAAGAAAAGAGAATACTTAGAAAGGACATTAACTCGGTCTAAATATATTACTGGGGACCTAAAACGGATCAATCTGTTCTGCTGCCCCATCAGGCTCATCTAATAATGGCTTAAGTTCTTTCTTTAGACTCGGAACTTAACAAGCAGTTACGGGAGCATTCAAAAAGCCAACTGTGCCTCCTCCTTGAGGCTTCACAAAACTAACTGCGCCTCCTTGGTGAGGCATCTTCTTTAGAAAAAAAAAAAAGCTTTGAAGCTGAAGCTGATTCCTTGGAAGACAAGGGGAAAGGAAAACTCTAAATATCTCTTTTGCACTGCTCTCTCTCCGGAGCTCTTTCTTTAAGGAAGAACACTCAGGCTGGCAATGATCAGGTCTTTGAGACACCAGCTCCCAAAGGGCGATACAGAGGAGTAGGGAATTCTGGGTTGGGTTCTGGGGTGGCAGCTTGGGGAGGAGGAGGAGGAGGAGCTGGAGCGGGAAATGAGGGAAGGTGGTCTAAAGGGGCCCATTTACGTGTCGATTGCTCACGGGTAAAAGCTCGGCTCTTTTTAGGTGAGACTACTTGTGACTTTACTCTCTTATTGTTTTCCTCCTTCTCATAATGGATAAAGGAGAAATGGCCCCTGCTGCCAACAGAGGGCATAATCTGTTTCTTCTTGTGAGACAGGGCTTTTGTTGTTGACATACATTAAGAGTTGACAAACCTAATCCTCACCCAACCCAAATTTTGGCCAGACAGCTGTGGTCTTGAGGATTGGTTCTTTAGTTCAAATAAAACAGTAATACTTTATCATTTGTTACGGAAGACTCAACCCCCCCAAGCTGGGAATCTCTTGCCTATTCTGTTGTAAAAGCTTAAAGCTTGCAGAAGACTCAACTCCTCAAGCAAGGAATTTCTTGCCTTCGCTGCCCTGGGAGGTTGACCTGCTTCCTCTCTTCCCCCTTCTGAGGGTCCCTTAAACTCTTCGCATTTGTGCGGTCAGGACTTGTCACGATTCACACAAACAACACCGAATTCACACACACGCTCCACGCTTCAGCAGCTGACCACCAAGGAAGTATTTTGTTGCCCCTTTGCAATGTTTCCGACCTTGGCTCATGCACGAGATTGCCTGGCCAAGGCCTCTGGTCGCTGCGGTTTGGAATCTGTTTCCTCTGTGCTGCTGGTTGCTGAGAAGGGTTTATTCCTCACACCGGGTAAGTTCTGGCTCTCCGCTCCCCAACCCAACCCCACCACCACTGCAGGGCATGATGGCGCCTCCCCACAAGAGAGCACCAAGGACTGCCCCAGAGGGGAAACAGAATCCCAGACGACAAGCGCCCAGATTTGTTGGAAACGGGTTTATAAAGTTGGGAAAAATCCACATCGAGACAATGCATCACTCAGCAAGGGTGGTTTACTTCTTGCAGGAAGGGTGCAACTCGCTGGCAGTCTTGCCAAGAGAGCACATCTGAACAAAGGAGACAGGGACATTTATAACCTTCATAACCTGAAGCAATCACCTGACTTCTGTGTCCAGTTTCCATTGGCCAGAATGAGACCTTACATTTTATGCTTGACCTGATTAGCTAAAAACTTAGAAATTTCCTGGATAAGGGGAAATGGCATGCACCGGGGTTTGGAGCTTGGCCAATTCCGTTCAGACAAGATGGAGCGAGTCAAGGTAGCTGATTTAAGATGTGGCCGATTGTTTATTTTTGTTTTTTTGAGATGGAGTTTCACTTCTTGCCCAGGCTAGAGTGCAATGGCGTGATCTTCTCACCGTGACCTCTGCTTCCCAGGTTCAAGCGATTCTCCCACCTGAGCCGCCCAAGTAGTTGGGATTACAGGCATGCACCACCACACCTGGTTAATTTTGTATTTCTAGTAAAGACAGAGTTTCTCCATGTTGGTCAGGCTGGACTTGAACTCCCCACCTCAGGTAATCCACCCACCTCGGCCTCCCAAAGTGCTGGGATTACAGGCGTGAGCCACTGTGCCCAGCCAAGAAGTAGCTGATTTAGAGAATATATACATGGAGCTTTGCACAGTGGCAGTAGAGTAGTCAATGAGTTTTATCTGAGGCGTGATTATTGCTAATTGAAAACTTTTCCCAATACCCCGCCACGACGACTTGAAATATAGTCGGCATTGGCAGTTTTGGGGTCTCTACAGGGACTGAATTAAAAATAAAAAAAAAAAGAATATACACATGGGTATATGTTTATGCTAATAGTGGATAATGGCCATAGAGCGAGAGATTGTAACTCCTGATAATGTAGTCTACAATACAAACTTCAAAGAACTTTCCGGTCTCTCACATTAGATAAGCTAATTTTATAAGGAGTGCTCACAGAGAGGTAGCACAGATAATTGGCCTGAGGCTGGCTATTAATCTTTCACAGCAATGCCTAACAAGACCAGCATGCTACACATACAGGAGAATAAAGATAGTCACTGCCAAACCTTATTTTATTGAATTCTGCTAATTTTGAATGTTCAGATTACTCAGAAACTTGGCTGACCTGTTCTTTGACATTGCATACAGAGAATTTGGTTTTCAGAAAAAATTAATAATAAAAATGAATACTTAAATAGCTCTTCCAAGTTTGTCTTGCATATATGTTATTTTATTTGATAATGAGAATGTAACTACTGCCACCTTGGGAATCTTTATCTGTGAGTTTTAGTTCTTCTCAATAGAAGATACTGAAGCAACTGAAGTTTGATGAATCCTTTTGTCCTCTCTGAACTGAGTGAGTTGGCCATCACTTGGGAAGGGCACTCAGTTCAGGTGATGATCCCAGTACAGTATTGACTTCTTCCTCACACCATTCCGAAGGATCCCAGGGGTTTTGGTTTGAAATGTTATATCCTTTTTGTTTATTTACTTATTTTTAATTATTTATTTAGAGACCAGGTCTCACTCAGTTGCCCAGGCTGGAGTACAGTGGCACCATTTCAGCTCACTGCAACCTTTGCCTTTCTGGTTTAAGCAATTCTCCTGCCTCAGCCTCCTGAGTAGCTTGGATTACAGGTGCATGCCACCACACCCCACTAATTTGTGTGTTTTTAGTAGAGATAGAGTTTTGCCCTGTTGCCCAAGCTGGTCTCAAACTCCTGGGCTCAAGCGATTCACCCACCTCAGCCTCCTAAAGTGCTGGGATTACTGGTGTGAGCCACAGTGCCCAGCTTGTCTTTTTTTTTTTTTTTTTAGAAAAATGCAGCCTCATGCCTCTAAGAATAGAGCTGAAGAATCTTAACTGACCATTTATTTTCTTTCACCATGTCCAAATCTTTAGAGAAAAGTAAAATGTAGCAAAATGTTTAAATGGAATTTTCACCTGAGAGCCCAAGGCTCTAATTATTAGATACCAAAATGAGGTTGTTTTTTTTTTTTTTCTTTAAAAAAAAAAAGGCATTTATTCAGTGTCATGGTCAGACTGTTACATTTAGCAGTCAACAGCATGGGTGCAAAAAAATAATTCTACATTAAAACCTTTTGTTGGAATGTTTTACACTTTCCACAGAACAGAAACTAAAATAACCTGTTATACAATTAATCACAAATACAATCCTCGAGTTTTTTGCCCATACACATGAGTATTGTCTAAAACATGTCTTCTTAGCAGCTAGGCCCTGCCACCACTGTGCTTGGCTGAGTCCACATATCTGTTGTAACCTGTAGCCTCCCTGTCACTTCTCTGGCTCTCTTCTCCTGCTAAGCTTTGTTTCTTAATTAAAAATCTTCTGCCATTGCCATATCTCCTGCTGCTACTGGAGCCGCCATAGCCACCTTGGTTTTGTGGTTTGGCAAAATATTGGCTGCCACCACCATAAGGGCCAGAGCTTCTGCATCCAAAGTTTCCTCCCTTCCTGGGTCCAAAATTTGAAGACTGATTGTTGTAATTGCCAAAATCATTGTAACTTCCACCACCTCCAAAATTGCCTCCATCATTACCAAATCCATTATAGCCATCCCCACTGCCACCATATCCACCACCACCACAGCTGCCACCAAAGCCACCACGACCATGACCAAAGTTGTCATTCCCACCAAAACCATCTCCACGACCACCACCAAAGTTTCCAGAAGCACTCTGACCTCTGGCTGGATGATGCACTAGCCATCTCTTGCTTTGACAGGGCTTTCCTAACTTCACAGCTGTGGCCATTCACAGTATGGTATTTCTGAATGACAATCTTATCCACAGAGTCATGGTCGTCAAAGGTTACAAAGGCAAAGCCCCTTTTCTTGCCACTGCCTCGGTAAGTCATGATTTCAATCACTTCAATTTTTCCATACTGTTCAAAATAATCTCTTAGGTGATGTTCTTCATTGTTTTCTTTAATGCCACCAACAAATATTTTTTTTCACAGTTAAGTGGGCACCTGGTCTTTGAGAATCTTCTCTTGAGACAGCTCTCTTTGGTTCCACAACTCTTCCATCCACTTTGTGTGGCCTTGCATTCATGGCTGCATCCACCTCCTCCGCAGCTGCATACGTGACGAACCCAAAGCCCCTGGAGCGCTTGGTGTTTGGATCTCTCATTACGACACAGTCTGTCAGCGTTCCCTGTTGCTCAAAATGGCTCCTCAGGCTCTCATGGGTTGTTTCAAAGCTTAGCCCTCCAATGAAGAGCTTTCTCAGCTATTCAGGCTCTTTAGGAGACTGACTTAGACCTGATAGCAGAGAGAAGAGAGACTTTAACGATACTTCTTCGGCGGTGTTCACAGGCAGAAAGGAGCAAAGTGACAAACATATCTCCCAAAATGAGTTTTGAGATGAACCATCTTAAAGAAGATTTAAAGTATATATCTGAAAACTGGTAACATGGCTCATAACAACCCTTGACCTATATTGAGAACATAAAGGAAGCAAACTGTTTTAAAAAGGAGAAGAATTTGTGGTACATGTACTTGCAGAAAATGGTTCTGTGTTTGTCTCTCCACCCATCTCAGGGGAGTAGTGGAGGGTCCTTCTCACTTTATATCAAGTGAGTGGACTGGTGCCTGACTCCCACCTGGAAAGTCTTGAAGGCAGAGAAGGGCTGGCATTAGATGCAGAGGCAGGATAAATACAAGGGAGTGAAGGGCAGGTGTCCGGTGCTCCTACAGTGTCAGAGTAAAGGATGTGTGAGTGTTTTTAAGGCTCACTAAGGCCTCTCAGTAGACAGCCAGACTGCCATTTTAAATGCTGCCCCAGGGACATGAAAAGAATGAGAGGGCATCTGAAGACAAGAGTCTATGTGGCATGAACGAAAAACGAGAGAGAATTGGCCAACCTGTTGAACCACTACTTTCACCCACGTCACAGAAAATGCAGCCAAATGTTCCATGGACAGTCTCCAGAGAACCCACCTGAGAAGAGTCCCAGGAGAGAAAAAGTCAGCTTTAAATCCCTGCCAGATCCAGAGTTGTGAAGCCATTTTCCAAGTATACCAGTAAAATATGAACTTTCCTGCAGTACCGTGCCAAGCCTTACTGGAGCCTGAGGCCACAGGGAGAATCTGTACCTCTATATACACACTTACCAAAATACCCTTCCATATTGTGAACCAAGTGGAAAACTTATGAAAGGCTCTCCAATCAAAAACCATGATTACACATAATGTCCCAGATTGTCCAATCTGTTCACATGCCATTGTAAATCTTTATAAACCCACCCATCAAAGGACACCATGGCCCTGTACCCCGTGAACCTCAGGCTGATCAGAAACACTGTTCCCATTGAGCAATAACTCGAGGTCACAGAACAAACAGAAACAGGCCGCCTTTCTTTGTGTACATTTTTGGTATTTTGTTCATCCTGAATGTTTTGCCTTTAGACTTAAAGAAAAATATTGCGGGGCTGGGAGCAGTGGCTCATTCCTGTAATACCAGCAGTGTGACAGGCCAAGCCAGGTGATCGCTTGAGCCCAGGAATTCAAGACCAGTGTGGGCAACACAGCACAATTCTATCTCCACAAAAAACAAAAAAATGTAGCTGGGCATGATGGTGCATGCCTGTAGTCCCAGCTACTTGGGAGGCTGACCTGGGAGGATTGCTTGAGCCCGGAATGTCAAGACTACAGTAAACAGTAATTGCATCACTGCCCTCCATCCTGGGTGACAGAGCAAGACCGTGTCTCAAAAAAAAAAAAAAAATTGCATTAATCTTTATCTTGATTCCTGAGCCCCCTTAAATTTTGCACGAAATGAATGCTTTACTGTTGGCCCTACTTTTCTGCAGTTTTCCTTCATTCATCATCTTCAAGCTCAGAGAACCCGGGAACTGTGCTTAGCAAGGAGGAAATCTAAAATAAATAAACTCACAGGAGCACAAAGTAAAATGGTGGTTGCCTGCAACTGGGGGAGGAGAAATGGGGAGATAGTGATCAAGGGGTACAAAGTTTCACTTATGCAGGACGAATACACTCTGTAGACCTAACGCACAACAATGTGACTACAGTTAACATACTGTCTTGTATACTTGAAATTTGCTAAGAAGGGAGATTTTAAGTGTTCTCACCACACACACACACACACACACACAAATAAAATAGTAACTATGTGACATGATAGATATTTGATTGTGATGATTATTTCACAATGTATGCATATGTCAAAACAGCAACCTGTACACTTTAAATACATACAATTTTTATTTGTCAATTATACATCAACAAAGATGGGGGGAAGGTTAGGTATGGTGGCTCATGCCTGTAATCCCAGCACTTTGGGAGGCCGAGGTGGGCAGATCATTTGAGGTCAGGAGTTCGAGACCAACCTAGCCAACATGTTGAAACCCCACCTTTACTAAAAATACTAAAAATTAGCTAGGCATGGTGGTGCTAACCTGTAATCCCAGCTACTTGGGAGGCTGAGACAGGAGATTCATTTGAACCCAGGAGGCAGAGGTTGCAGTGAGCCGAAATCACATCGCCACACTCCAGCCTGGGTGATAGAGTGACACTCTGTCTCAAAAAAAAAAAAAGTTGGGGGGGAAGCTTGGAGGAGAGCCATAGTAGCTTCATTGATTTGATGGGCAATAATACGCTCTAGTTAAGTACCTTATAAACAGAAAAGTGCTAGAGAATGTTGACAATGATCCTCCTCCTCATGCTTTCCTTGCTGTTGTTCTGTTTCTGCAGGCCAAGCATCAGGGCTGCCAAGGCCATTTGTGTTGGTTACTTTCT